CACCCATTCTGTCATCCACCATCCACCCACCCACCCATCTGCCCACCCGTCCATCGACTCACCTACCCACCCACTCATCCATCTACTCGCGCGTCCATCCGTCGATTCGCCCGTCCGTCCGTCCATCCATCCGTCCGTCCCTCCCTCCCTCCGTCCCTCCCTCCATCCGAGTGGGGCAATGGGGCAGCTTCCCAGAGGAAATTGGGACTGTCTGTCTCCAACTCCATGGCGTCCGTTGTAACTGGGACTTAGAACATGGGTTCCCTCCCACCCCCCATCTCCCAGGGGCACCTGGTCTCCCCCAGCTCCTGGGTGTTTGTTCCTCCTGTAACCTGAAGACCCAGAGAGCCCTGGGATCAGAAATGCTGTCCTCCGTCCTCTGCCCACTGCAGAGCTGAGAGTCCCTCTCCCGGCCTCGGCCTTGGCCTTGGCTCTCTCAGGACAACCTCCAGCTCACCTGGACCTGGCCTGTGCCCAGCCATCCTCATGGTCTATTTATTTTTCCTCCCTCATCCTTTCTGCAGGAACCAAGGGGGACTAAACTTGCCAAGCCCCATGCCGGGTTTCTGGTGCTGTACGGAATCTCATTTCAGATGTCGCCTCCTGGGTTCCCTTCCTGTACCACTGCTTGTAACCCCCGCCATGTACAGACCGGTGCAGTTTGAAAGCCCTTTCCTGCCTTTGGTTCCCATCTCGTTCCCTCAGACTAAAATCCTGAAAGTGGCCTTCAAGGCTCCGCCTGAACGGACCCTCCAGACCCTCCCCTGCCTCCGACTCCCTCACCTGCCACTCCCTCCCGTGCTCATGCCACGCCACTCACGGCCGCCTCCCTGCTCTGACCACACTCCCACCCCGGGGCCTTTGCACCTGCTGTGCCCAGTGTGGAATGCTCTTCTCCAGGAATCCGGGACTTTCTCTCTGGCATTCCGCATTCCCCTCGCCCTCATTTATTTTCTTCCTAGCGCTTATCAACAGCCGCCTTAAATATCTAGTCGCTGGGCTGTCATCTCCCCTACCCTTTGTCAGAATATAATTTCCATGAGGTCAGGGTACAGCTTCCTCTGTGTGGTATCCGAGCAGCAGGAACAGCGTCCGGCCGGCAGCAGGTGTTGGATAAATGTTTGTTGAATGAACGAATGCCTAAACAAACCCATGACCTCATTCGGCCCTCACAGCAGCCCATTTGACAGATGGAAAATGCTGGCCCCCGATCTGGGGCGCGATTGCACAGCTGAGCAGAGGCTGAGCTAGACCCCAGGCCTCACCCCCGGCTGGCCTCCACACCCCAGGTGGCACATTCCTCCGCTGGGGAACCATTTCATACCATCAGGATTTCCCCTGACCTTTAGCCCGAGAGGAAATGATACCGCAACTGGAAGAATCCCCAGAGGGCCGGGAGCTGGCAACGGCCGCCCGGCAGCTGCAGGGAGTGTTGAGTGGATTCCGGGGCTGGCCAGGGGCAGGGGGACCATCGAGATGCAGGCGCAGGGACGCCACCCCCTCCCGGCTCTGCCTCACCTCGGTGGGGCCTCCTCTCCCGGAGGCTCGGCAGCTGCAGCCACTGCTCCTGTCACGGTCACAGAAAGGGAGAGCAGTAGCCATGGGTGAGGAGCTGGGACTCGGGACCACGTGGCTGTCTCCAGAGTTGTCCAGGTCCAGGATCGTTGGGGACGTAGGACTGTGTGAACCTTGGCTGAGCAGCATGGGAAGTCGTTAGCCATGGGGATAGGGAAGATACCAGCCCCGCCACCCATGGGGCTGGGCAGCTCCGGGCTCATCGTTTTGTGCCTTGGTTTTCTCCTCTGAAAAATGGGGTTACAGCTGGGTGCAGTGGCTCACGCCTGTCATCCTAGCACTTTGGGAGGCAGCGGTGAAAGGATTGCCTGAGTCCAAGGGTTCGAGACCAGCCTGGGCAACTTGGCGAGACCTGGTCTCTACAATAAAAAATTAGCCGAGCGTGGTGGTGTGTCTCTGTAGTCCCAGCAACTTACTTGGAAGGCTAAGGCAGAAGGATCAACTGAGCCCAGCAGGTTGAGGCTGCGACAGCCTGAGTGACGGAGTGAGACTGACTCAAAAAAAAAAAAAAAAAAA